TCGGGTTTAGGGTTTAGGGGCTCGGGGCTACCAAACTGAGGCTTAAGGGTTTAGGGTTCGGGGTCATACCATAGTCAGAATCAAGCGATGCCGAGGAGGAAAGCTCAGAAGCCATGAGGGGCACATAGAACTCGACTGCGTCGGGATTGCAAGGGGGCTGCTCATACTGGTACCTCTCATCTGCTGAGCTGAAGCAGTAGTAAGGGGCTGGGAGGCCCATTCCAATCAGGAAGAAACAGCATGCCGCAGCCAGGAGCCAGCCTCCAGCCATGTAAGGACGACGCCGCAAGCCGCAAATTGGCCGGGAATCACTCAGAATGCCCAGTAGAACGATGAAGACGCTGGGAAGTTCGGCTAGGTTAGCTCCCGCCTTGATAGTATCACTAGGAACATTCAGGTAGCCTGCCAGCACATTGAAGAGGATGGCATTTGCAGCCCCCGATGTAAAGCCGGTGGCGACGTAGTGCAGAGTTATGCCACAGTTCCTGCTTCGAGCGCATGGGGACTTAGGTATACCTTCGAGATACCTAGAACTTAAAAAGGTATCAGAACAAAAAGGAGGATCCTGTTTACGATAGCCTACACCCTACACCCTCCCTATCTATTTGTATATATATATATATATACATATATATATACACATATGTATATATATATATAAAGAAAGAGCCCCATATATATATATAGATGCATGCCGGAGTTCCTGGGATCGGAGATGGCGAACTCGTAGTGACCGTCTGCTTCTGCCTCTCGGCAAGATGCTCTAGGCGCCTCAATAGCTAGAACCCTAGGGGTCCATGTACCCAAATACTGTTGATGATATAAATCCTGCATTACCCATTGTAAGGAATATACCATATTTCCCATAGTTTAGGGTCCTTAAGGTAGTACAGGATTTATAATATCATCAACCGTAGTAGATACTTTGGCCCCAAAGTACCTAAATAGGGACTACTTAAAGTAGTTGGGCACATGGACCCTTAGGGGAATAGGGGTTCCAGGCTCCTTTAAAAGGGTAGATAAGGGGTCCATAATGAGGGTTCTGTGAGGGTTCGTGGTTTCAGGCTCCTTTAAAAGGGTAGATATGGGTTCTATAATAAGGGTTCTATAACAGGGGTTCGTGGTTTCCGGCTCCTTGAAAAGGGTAAATAAGGGTTCTATAACAAGGGTTCTGTAAGGGTTCGATGACGTAGGGGACCTTGACAATTGGAACGGGGTTTTGGGCTCCTTTGGGGTCTACGTATATTAATAAGGAGCCCCTAGGGAATGATGTTGGTGATTATTTGGGCTTCTTTTCTACATGAATCCCCAAACCCTAAGCCCAATGCCCTAATGATGTTGATACTTATTTTGGCTTCTATACTACATGGATCGGAGCTCGTCTGGGAACCCGAACCCGACCCCGAGGTTAGGGCTTCGGGTTGAGGCAAAACAAGACGCCCGATTGAAGCATTCAGGAAGCAACTGATTCCTACGAGCTTTTGTTTGGGCATATTACCGTGGCCCTATACTTTTTGAATAGTTTTGGGGTATGTTGTATTTTTTAGACGTAACTATACTGAGGAACGCTTCCAAAATCATCCGTAATTGGCTGCACATCGGCTCTGATGACAGAATTGCATGGTTGCAGGGTTTACGAATTTGGGCCTAGGCGTTTGAAACGGAGCCTTTGCAAAGGTGTCGCTGGAAGAGCTGCTTGTCGTCGTCTTGGGCGACGCAGGGATCACCGAGGAAGCTGGTGATCGACTGGCCTCGAGGTCCATTCTGCGCTGTGAGACAAAGAAAGTCTGATGATGGTACCCCTGTGTGTCTCGAGCCAGTGCGAGCGTGAAGAACGGAGCTTGCTAGGACCAATTGGGTCACCCTGAGGCCTGAACAAAGCAAAGGGGACCGAAACCCTAACTAAACCCCTAAGTTGTCCCTAAAACCCTTAACGCAACACCCTAACCCCTAAACCCATAACCCTAAACCCTTTAAAAGCCTTAAACCAACCACCTCGAACTCTCGGATCAATCACACCTAAGACCCTAAACCCTAAACCCCTAAACCCCTAAACCCTAAACCCTAAACCCTAAACCCTAAGACCTCAAACCGTCTCCATTCCCATCTTGCCTGCTGCCAGGAGCGCCCTCCGCGGTAACGTTGACTTCGGGCTCCAGGCTTAGGGTGTAGGCCCTTTAGGGTTTCAGGATTTTGGCTTTTAGGCTTTTAAGGTTTAGGGTTTTGGGTTTGAAGGGGTTTTGGGTTTAGGGTTTCAGGGCTTAGCGTTTAGGGCAATAGGCACCAAAACAGCATGTTTACCCTAAACCCTGAAGGTAGTAGGGCTTGGCATTCCTCAATAATCTGCCCCTATGCTGGGTGCCCGGATTCCTTTCGAGGCCCCAATGTAATCCTGAACCCCTTCCGGATCCTATGCTTTTCTAGGCTTTGGTGTTTGGGTTATATGGTTCAACATTGAGGCCAGGATATGGAGTACACCCTGCAATGTAAAAGTGGCAGGTCCTGAAAACAAAGATGTAAGAAAAGGGTAGGACACCTAAACTGGCCTAAACTTGTAAGACACTGCTGGACATGTATGGTTATCTTTCTCGCTCGGTTAACATTAACCCCCGCAAACCCTGGTAAACTCTGGAAATCCCTATATCAAGTATGCTCATACCTTCGCCGTCCACGGGACAGTAACCTGGCCCGCATCGCTATCAGCATCGCAGTCAACATCAGAATGACTAGTTGACTACCTAGTGACTCCAAAACCCCGTAATTAAGGAATATACCGTAAATCTTGTTAGGGTTCTTACTATAATTTAAGGTATATTCCCAGGGGTTTTGGATTCTCTGGGTAGTATGATACTGCAAGCATGACTCTTGCAATAGAGCAGCAGTTTCCTCACACACCATATTTGTCGGATATCCGTGTGCAGCTGGACAATACCGGCACTACTGTGAATCTCGTGTAAACTCAGCGCCACATAAGCTAGCGTCGCGTTCGATACCTCACCGTATCAACATTGAGCCTTCCAGCTTTCAGACACGCTATTAGTTGGGCGTTCTGTGGTCCTCGCGCTGCGGCCTCCTCTGCATAAAGATAGACTTGGTGTAGCCTCTCCAAAGAAGCATCTGACGTCTAACGTCACGGTTTCACCTGTCAAGCAACTAGTAACTACACTTTAAAGCCTGGGTCCTGCAGAGGAATTCGGAATGTCATCCACTACGCATCAACACCATCAACACTAGCCTTAGGCTGTGGTGAGGAAGGTGAATATGATGATGGCATTAATTACACAGGAAATCAGTGAAGGCAGCGACATCCATGATGGTGGTACACATAATAATGGCGGTAATTATGACGATGATGCTATTGCTAATGGAGAGGTTTCGCTATGAGTACTAGTGGCGGCAGTAGCACAAGAAGCCAGAGCACTGGTAGCTGGTCAAAGCAATCGTATAACTAGAAGGTGGTACTGGTCGACATGCCCTTAGTCTTCCTGAGCCGAGGGCGAGTGGAGTGTATGTTCGGCGCTGGTGGCGCTGATTTTCACCCGTGCAAGCCACAAGAGAGGTGCAAAGGCCCGAGTCTACAGTGCGGGTACCTTCTGTGCTGCGACCTTTCCTCACAAAGACTGTCAGAGGGACCCAGGTCCGAACAGCAAAACAGGCCAGATTGAATCCGGCTTCAGAGATTCCATGAGGCTCCAAGTACACGTATATGGGTAGTTCTCCAAATTCCGGTCCTTGTTTAAGGGTCCATTTCATAAGCGTGCCGTAGTATATTGGGCACCTCCACAGGGACTCTACTCTAGAGAACTACCCATATTCTTACTTCGGCTCTGCAGTCTGCAAGAAATGCCTACTGTTTGGAGCACCAGGGCATAGCAATCGAACAAAATTGAAGTCCTGTACAGAAACGTCTGTGCAGTGACCCGTCCTGGCAGTGTAGGAAACGGGCACTGACGTCCTCAAGATGACATAACGTCGCACTCGTCGACTTTTGCATCACTCCGAACTAGGGGGGTCCCCAAGATGCGGTATTCTTCCATGGCTTCCTCCGAAGCTTCAGCAGCAAGGCTGCTTCTTGCTTCTTTAGATCAAAGGCTGTCGATTTGCTGTGCGTAGAAACTCTCGGGCTTGAGCTCTACAGAGCAGCCTCCGAGGCCCCTTGCTGGGTTCTTGTTAAGGGATTTCTTTCAAATTACCATATTACTTACTATAGATCCCTATCATGGTTTGCTGGGTTCTTGTTAAGGGATTTATAATAAGGAAACCATATTACTTAAACTATAGATCCCTACATTATGGTAACTTTTACTAAATCCCTTAACAAGAACCCAGCTTAGCAGCCTTCTCCACCAAGAAAGTGCAGGCAAGTTAGGGAAGGATCCAGCACCAGAAAGTCCCCAATCAGCCTTGGCTCAGGACACAGCATCAAGAGCCATGCGACACCTTCAGCCGCCAAGAAACTTCAAACCTCCAAACTGTCTTTAGACCCTCAAAAAAGTTGACGAACAGGACGCAGCCGCGTGTAGAGCAGGGTAACTCCCAGTATGAACGTGGCCAGCATAGCGAAGACTGGCCGTTTCGACCATGTCTGCTTGCGTTCTCGCGCCTCCCCCTTCCTCAGTGATCGGTTCAAGGCAGGTCTTCGGTCCAACTGCAGAATACACGTGTGAGACGTATGTGTGTCTGTGCATGTCAATGTGTATGTGTAGGTATAACCTATATTATGCTTATTTTTTCATATACAGGTATATACATACATATGTATGTATGTATGTATGTATGTATGCATGCATGCAGGCATGCATGTATGTATGTATGTTCTACAAGTGTGTTGTGAAGCTTATATAATTATCTGCTTTTGTGGGCAGAATGCCTGGATTCAGGTGCAAAGTTGAATGTTAGGAGCGCATGAGTGCAGCTCTGCGTGCATGAAGGTGCAACTGTGCGGAAGCAATGTTTGTTTGCGTAGGTGGGTAGGTGAGTGGCGGGGTGTGTGTTGGGGCCGATGGTCAGTGTATATTCGTAGGTAGATTCCAGTCAAGAAAATCCGCGAATCCGATCTGTCGAGTCACAATGCTTTTATGCAAGGCAGAGTTGCTAGCATCGCAGGAGCCGGAACTTCGGATGTAGATCTGCTACTCCGGGTTCCAATCCTCAAGCACTTACCGAACTGCATCCAGAGATCGTAAGCCCCTAAGCAAACCCGCAACAGAATCCTTACAAAGCCTGCTTACATCATTTACGTCTATACCCACTGCAGAATCTCAACCTTGTGAATCGTTTTGAGTCTTCCTGGTGCTCACGGACGGATAGACCCTAAACCCTAAACCCTAGGCAAGCAATTACTCTTGAAATCCTCCGGTTGATATCCCTCAGGAGGACCTAGTAAACACATACCCCATAAAACCTACCTTGTCAGGGTGTAGAGTTTAGGGTTCCTCATGATGATCTCCTAAAGGTAGGCCTACACCCTAAAGCCTGCGTCCGAGCTTCTGTGCTGGCAGCAAGGGCAGCGCGAGGAAGCATAGGGAGTAGGTGAAGTAGGAAAGAAGGAACCTGGCGAAAGACCCTATAATGGGTTAGAAACCCTATAAACCCTAAACTCTAAGCCCTATAATGGTTTAGGGCTTACAGGGCCTCGAGAGAGTTTGATGTTTAAGCCGTACACTCCGAAATCACAACCGGAAACTTTTGGGAAAATCCGTTCTGCACCGGCATAGGATGGGGTCTACAGGACGGTTTAGGGTTTAGGGGTTTAGGGTTTTTGGTACCCTGCGCAGCGACAAAAAGGCCGGGTGGACGATGAAGCAACCGTCCAGCGAAAGTCCTGCGTGTCCTTTATGTAGTTCCTGAGCTTGGAAAGGTTGCAACAGGGACCTCACATAACTTACGGGGTACCCTAGCCCAAAAAAGGTTAACCTTTCAATTATGGTGGGATTATATAAGCCCAAAGCCTACTCAGCTACTAAGTTAAAGACCCAGAAAAGTAGAAGGGACACTTACTTTCCGGACACGGGCGCAGGCTTAGTTCATCCTGGCTTTTCAGGGATACAAGATCCCACTACTGTTAGCACCGGTATTGCTAGTACTCTTATTATTACTATTACTCTCATTAACTACTAACACAATTACCATAATTATTGCCGTAAAGCTTAGCTCTTCAAGCCTTAGCTAAACTGTTGGAGTTTCGCACTCTCAAGGGTTTGAGGCTTTAGGATACCGGTGTGTGCAGGGCTTTAGGGTTTGGGCATTCGGGATTCGGAGTCTGGGGGTGCCGCTCTTTGAGGATTCAGGGCTTAGGGTTTAGGGTTCAGGGCTTAGGGTTTAGGGTTTAGGCGTTAGGGTTTAGAGCTTGGGGTTTATAGGGTTTCGGGTTTAGGCGTTAGGGTTTAGGGGTCTTGGGGTGTCGTTTTTACGGCTCAGGGTTTACTTTGAGGCCTTTGCCCGGAACCCTAAATTGGGGCTTGGGATGTCGGCATGTAGGGACCCACTGCACGCGTGTCCAGTGAGCCTGACCCCGTCACACTAGACATACACCTAAACCCTAAACCAGTTAAGGGTCTAGTAGGAAGGCTAATGTAGGGGCCTTGATCATTAGAGGGCTTCAGGGTTTTAGGGTTTAGGATTAGGGCTTAGGGCTTAGGGTTCAGGGTTTAGGGCTTTAGGTTTTGGGCTTCGGGCTGTAGGGTTTTTGGAGGGGGCAGAATACAAAGATAAAATATATAGGCATTACATTAGGTCATGGTTTTGCTGGGGGAGGGTAACATTCCAATACCTGTACATAGGGACTGCAAGGGGCACTACCGAGCTTTGTCCGACAGCATGTTATGCTCAGTGGTATTGGAATCGAGGGAGTAACTCCAGAGGGAGGTTCGGAAGATTTTTAAGGTTCGGGGTTCCTTAAACCAAAAACCCTCCTAAACCCTAAACCCCCAAAGCCCTAAAACCTAAAAACTAAATCCCTAAACCCTACAACCCAAAACCATAAACCCTAAGCCCTCCAAAACCCTAAACCCTAAACTCCTAAACCCTGAACCCTAATCAGGGTTTAGGGTTTGAAGATCAAGGGGACCCCACGCATGAACCCGACACGGCAGGCCCCTTAACCAGCCCCTGACACCCTGAATCCGAAGCCAGCAAAAACGGGCTTTAGGGGTTTAGGAGTTTAGGGCTTTAGGGGTTTAGGGCTTAAGGCTTCCGTTGCAGTTGACCCCTTTATGACGAGCCTGTAAGTACAAGGCTCATGGCACCATGACCGGAACAATTTTAGCATCCTAGTTGTCCAGTATCCTAAGGGAACTAAAGGTCAACATTCGCGGTTATCCAGAACCCTAAACCCTAAAGCCTAAAACCTAAACCTTAAACATTCGCGGTTATACAAGGGGTATTGTAACCCACGAGGTTAACTTTTGGGCTGATCTAGGGATTGCCGTAAGCCAAAAGCGTTAAAGGACACCTTCCCTACCCGACCCCTCATACTAAAGCCAGGACCCTATACCCCACACCCTCCCTACATATCGTAGAAGCCAGCAAGTCGGAACATTCTGATCCTCATGCCCTTAAGATAAAATTTTTACGGATCCTGGCACTAATCCTCCCATGCCCTAAACCCCTAAACCCCTAAACCCTAAACCCTAAACCCCTAAACCCTAAACCCCAAAACCCTAAACCCTAAAACCCTAAACCCATGCTCCCAACTTTCTGGGGCTCGCTGAAAGGCGGGCAAGGCTCATCCGGTCCGAGAGGCTTGGGGTAAACAGGGAGAAGACCTGAGGGCTAAGGCTTTGAGGCCTTTGGGGATTGGTCTTTGTTTTTAGGGGTTCGGTTTATATGGAGATAAGTTCTGTATTAGGGATCTATAAGGGATCTAGGTGACTAAGGCTTGGAGGGCTTTGGGGATTGACTTTTTTTAGGGATTAGGTTTAGGGAGTTATGTCTGGGCTTGGAGGGCTTTTGGGATTGATTTTTTTTGGGATTGGGTTTATAGGGAGTTACGTTATGTAACTATTAGGGATCTATAGGGGGTCTCTAGGGCTTTAGAGTTTCAGGGTGCAGAGTTTGGGTTTTATTAGGTTTACGGATATAGGGTTTAGGGACTAGGCTGGAGGATCCGGAAATAGGGCTTTAGGGGCTTATAAGGTTTAGAGTTCCAACTAGGGTTTCGGGGACTGGGCTTGGGGGAAATGAGAGGTTCAGGGATTCACGGATAAGGATTGGATTGAGGGCTTTTAAGGGCTTAAGGATTTGAGGCTGTAGGGCTTCATGTTTCAGGCACCAGGGGTTAGAGATTAGGCTGAGGATTTCGGGATGCCGGGTTCTAAGCCTCTTGTTGACTATGAGGGAGTAGGGGTATGAGCTTTTAGGCAGGGGTTTAGGGTTTTAGTGCTGAGGCTGAGGGTTTAGGGATTTGGCATGGGTTGGGCTTTCAAGCTTGGAGATGTAGGGCTTGGGGTTTGTGTTTTATTGAGAGACTAGGGGTTCCCCGTTTGACGTCTAGGCTCCTAATGCCTTAGGGGTTTTAGGGGGTTTAGGGGTTTAGGGTTTAGGGTCAGCAAGCAAGAATCAGCAAATCTGCACATGTCCCTAAACCCTAAACCCTAGAACCTGAAAGGAGCCGTTAAAAGGAGCCGCGAAGCTTGGTTCGACAGAACAACGGAGAGCCGTTGTGCCACTGCTGCAATGGTGTCCATGAGGCCAGCCACCAGCGCACAGTTACCTCGGGAATCCAAGTTCAAGATCCTGTTGCAGGGGGAAAACTCTAAACCCTAAACCCTAACCCTTAGCATCAAAATAGCCCAAAAGCCTTATATAATAGGGTCTTTGGGCCCAAAAGCCTTAAAATATGAGTCCTTGGATGCTAACCCTAAGAGACCTCGAACGAAGAACAGTTGGGTTTCCTAGATACTGTCGTCTGCAAGCTCGTTGATCAGGAACGTGGTGACGAGCGCTGACATTGCTTGGGGCACGCTAATCGTGACTGGCTCACCAAGGTAGAAATACTGGTTCCTAGGTTCCCCAGTAACCCCCTTAATAATAAGGGTACCCCTTTTTCCTACTATTCGACTTTAATATAAGAAGACCCCCAAATTTTAAAGGGCAAAAGGGTACTACTGGGGAGCCTAGGTTCCGGAGGACATCGAAGATCGTGCAGAACTGTGGAATGGCATCCAAAAGCGTCGTTGAGACGCCCGTCACGAAGATGATCTTTCGCCAGCTGGCTCCCAGAAGCCACCTTTGAATTACAAAGCTTCCCAGAAGGAAAAGGCAGGCGCCCAGCATGCCAGAAAGCTGCCTCTGCATGTTTTCGGTCTTTGCCCATTCTAGCCCCACCCACACTCTCGCAGTCGTGCTGATATTGAAGATGCTTGAGCTGGCGAAGAAGAAGAGGGCCACAGCACAGAAGGCCTGCATCGCTCAATGCCAGAAGTGGCGATTTGAGAGTTTAGGGTTTAGCGGCTTAGCGTTTAGGGGTGATGATAGGTATACCCATAGGCCCCGAAGTAGTTCCTTTTTGGGATTACCTTGTAGGATTCTAAATATAAATCACAAAAAGGAACTACTTAGGGGCCTATGGGTAACCCCCTGCAAGCTTCCAGCTGCGAGCCTTGCTTTCCAATAGATGCCATGACGATCGAGAGTATTCGCGAAGTGACGCACTCCCTCCGGGTCGCTCGTGCACCTTGATAGCGCACATAGCCCCAGTTACGGTGCACATCGCAGCAACGATGCCCATGGCTTCCTGGTAGCTTAGCTGGTGCCGTTGATTGAAGCTGCCGGTAAACATACGCCCGTTGAAGCCGAAGGCTACTATTGTGACCGAGACGAAGTATCCGGCAGTACTCACCATTTGAAGCAAAGTTTGCGCGCGACCACGACGATCCTCCGCCTCTTCTTTGGCATACTCCACCATGAGCCTACTTTCAAGGCAGGGAAAGCCGAAGTAATCGGAGGGACTCAAGAAGTAGAATAAGGTTTTGAGGCTTGAGGTAATGATATGACACTATAGGCTAACCTAAGGATCAGTATTTGTAGCTGTTCAAGCTTGTGTAGGTATCCAGGAAGAGGCTTCCCTTAGAGCAATTTAATTTCATACTTTAAGCAAAAGAGTGCATAGAGTGCCACCTAGTACCTCTACACATGGCAAGCACCTATGTGTGCACATCTGTATGTACGTATGCATGCATGGATGGACGTGTGCACGGTTGTTTTCGTTTGTCTACGAAAACACTGGCAGACAGAGCAGCCCATTGGCCGCTGCACCGGCAGCAGTGATGCCCAGCTGCGCAACGCAGACGCAAGCCATAAGGGGCACGTAGAAGTCGACCGCATGGGGATTGCAAGGGGCTTGCTCGAAAAGGTACCGGTCTTCCTCAGAGCTGAAGCAATAGTAGGGGGCGGGGAGGCCCAAGCCCATCAGGCAGAAAGTGCAAGCGGCAGCCAAGAGCCAACCTCCAGCCATGTATATAAGGGTTTTTGGGTTTGAGGGTCTAGGGTTTCGGGTTTAGGGTTTGGGGTTTACGGTTTGAGGGTTTAGGGTTTGAGGGTTTAGGGTTTCGGGGTGTAGGCCAGTTCGGGGTAGCCAGCCTCCAACCATGTAAGGACGACGCCGCCAACCGCAAATTGGCCGGGAGTCGCTCAGGACTCCCAGCACGATGGAGAAGACGGTCGGTAGCTGGGCTAAGTTTAGCCCACCCTGCATCACCTTAGCTGCCCAGTACCCTGACCCAAAAAAGTTTAAACTTTTCTTTTAGTGGGGGTTTAATATACCAAAAAAGTTTAAAGTTTACCTATTGGGCTCCTAAGTCACTGCAGCAGAAACATTCAGGTAGCCCGCAAGCACGTCGAAGAAGATAGCATTTGCAGCCCCAGTGACAAAGCCACTTGCGAAGTAGTGCAGAGTTATGCCACAGTTCCTGCTAGGAGGCTTGGAAGACTTGGTAAGCAGCTACTCTAGAAAGCCTACGTAAATAATGTAGGAGCCTTAATAATTAGAATAATTAGAATAAGGTTTTGGGGGCTCCTCATTAAAATTTATAGCAAAATATATCCCAAACCTTATTCTCATTACTAAGGCCCCTATATTAGCTGCATAACCCCCACTGACGAAAAGGTTTGGGTTTGCCGCAGCTCCTAGAGTCCGAGAGGGCATACTCGAAGTGGCAATTGCTCTCTACCTGCCCAGATGCAAAAGGCTCAACCTGGTTTAACTACTGTTGATGATGTAAATCAGCATTACCTTCAGGACCCTAAACTACGGGAATTATGGCATATTCCTTATGTTGGGTAATGCAGGATTTATATCATCAACCGTAGGGCTTTTAGGATCTGGGACTGAGGGGTTTTGAGCCTTGAGGACATCAGGATTGCAGGGATGTTCGGGTTTGCCCATAATGTAAGGGCCTTAATAATTAGAATAGGGTTTTGGGGGTTCCTTACTATGATTATAGTATAGTATACCCCCCAAACCCTATTCTAATTATTAAGGACCCTTCATTAGGCTCCATAGTAGCTCTTTTTGGGGTTACCTTATAGGATCCGAAATATGAACCAACAAAAACAACTACTATGGAGCCTATGGGTAAAATCTGGGGGCAGCTGCTCCGACAAGTTTGGAAGCAGAGCTGTGTTTAGGGTTTAGGGGTTTAGTTTAGGGTTTAGGGTTTAGGGTTCAGGGTTTAGGGTTTAGGGGATCTACTCGCCCAGCCTTTGCAAAGGAGTCGCTGGAAGGACTGCTTTTCGTGGTCTCCGGCGATGCACGGGCAGAGGGCGCGGGTGATCTCGTGGTTTGCAGGCCCATCTTAACCCCAAGCCCTAAACCCTAAACCCTGAAGTTTAGAAGTCTTTCTTCACCCTAAGCCCTGAACCTATTCCTTAACCCAAACCCCTAAGAACCCTAGACCCTGAACTCTAAAGGTAGAGATGAAGATTGTGTCACGGATCCCCTGCCTGCCCTTCGAGCCGAATCATGCGCACACGCTCTTGGGCTCGGGAGGCTTCAGGTTGAATTTTTACGGGTTTTTGAAAAGGAAGCTACAGGTGGGGAGTTTAGGGTTTAAGGGTTTAAGGTTTAAGGTTCAGGGGTTTATAGGGATTTAGGGGTTTAGGGTTTAGGGTTTAGGGCATTAAAGGAGACTAGAGGTGGGGAGTTTAGGATATATGGGGCTTCTATAAGGCCTCTATAAGGTATATAGACCTTCTCTAAGGCTCCTTTTACGGTAACTACCCACCTGAAAATGTCCTAGACGGTTTTCTAGCGAGGCTACACGCTTAACCCTAAATGCTATGTAAGACCCAAACCACTTCACATTAAAACCCTAGGCCCTAAAACCCTAAACCCTAACACTCCACACTAAACCTTAAAACGCAAAGACCATAAACCCCAAACCCAAACCCCAAACACTTCGGATCCTAAATACAAACCACAAAAAGGAACTGCCATGGAGCTTATGGGTAAACCCTAGACCCTTGTAGGGTCGTGGCTTGAAGCGCAGGACACCACGGCACTGCAGAGCCCGGCACACCACACACACACACACACACACCAACAGGTCCTGAAGCTCTCCGGGGTTGGGGTTTGGGGTTTAGCTGAGATCTAAATTCCATCCGTGCGTTTCCAACGCTTCTTTTGAAAGGGACCTCGCCCCGCTTGGTGCGAGCCCCGACAACGGGTCTCTGATAACCTCAAACGAGCCTTCAAAGCGACAAACGGAAAAACCCCAAACCCTAAACTCCCCAAAGGCTCTCTAGTAGTTCCGTTTTGGGGTTGGTATTTAGGATCCTACAAAGTAATCCCAAAAAGGAACCACTAAAAAACCTATGGGTTCAAACCAGAACCACCCCGCCATTTACAAGGACCTTGAGAACAGTCACATACAATACCCAGGCCTCCGACTTGAGCTGTCGTCGGGGAACAGGCCATGGAAACGAGGTTGTTGAGGGGTTTTGGGGCTGTTGCGTTTAGTGCTTTTGGGCTTTAGGATTTTAGCGTTTTGGACGAGGGTGTATATAAGGCCGCGGGCTTTAAAGGCCCTAGAATCCCATCTCGTGCTCCTGCCAGCCAGCTTTGTGACAACTTGAACCTGCTTCGGCTGCAAGCAGAGCTTTGTGGATCTGGGGCTGAGTTGGACTGAGGCTGAGCGTCCAGGGGCACCGTTGCAACGGATAGAAATTAGAATAGTGTTTTTTTTTGGGGGGTTCATTACAATTATGGTAGAAGAGACCCCCAAGCCCTATTCTAAGTATGAAAGCCCCTATAAGGCTGTGTGCATCTTGAGGCACACGACCGCTTGTGAATGTTGGTGACGAAGATTTCATTTTCAGCAATGACAACTACAACAGTCATGAATGCGAGTACGCTTTACGACTCGGTCGTCCGGGTGTCGGTGCTGCTTAGGCTGCTTGGAAATATCTACGTTGCTACACCCTAAACCCTAAACCCTAACCCCGAAACCCTAAACCCCTAAACCCTAAACCCTAGTCTTCGACCAAGGCTGTCTTATAAGCCGAAGATCCCCGTCCCGAAATCCCAAAGAGGCCAAATCTTTTCTGCGAAAGGCCGATGGTGACCACGTGAAACGATCCCGAGTGGGGTAAAAGACGACGGCAGCCGTTGCGGGTTTTTGGGTTATGGTCATATACCCATAGGCTCCTAAGAAGCTCCTTTTTGTGGCTCATATCTAGAATCCCAAAAAGGTAATCCCAAAGAGGAACTACTTTGGAGCCTATATGGGTATAGTATAGTCCCTATACAAACCTTGAACCCTCAATCAGCAGCCCCTGAACCCCGGAGCCTATACCTGAAGAAGGTTCTGCTCGATAAAACAGGAGGCTCCCTGCGGAGCTTCAGGTAAGTTGAGCTTTTGCACATCGGTCACGGAGAAGAAAACAGCGAGACACGGAAGTTACGCGAAATAAGGGTTTAGGGCTTTCTTTGCGGGCTATCGGACTTGAAAGCGCATCATCAACGCGCTCTAGGGTCTTGCGTGGTTTCTCTACGGATCATGTTCAGCGTAGGCTTTAGGCTGAAGGTACACAGGACAAGGACGCTTGAAAGGTGGTACTGTTGATGATATAAATCCTGCATTACCCAAAATAAGGAATATACCATAATTCCCATAGTTTAGGGTTCTTAAGGTAATGCAGGATTTATATCATCAACCGTAGGAGCCGAAAGAGTCAAAGGGAGTTTCTTTTCACGTGTCCGGGTCAGGAGGCTTCGAAGATTCTGAGGATGTCATGGCGCTCCTTGCCTTGATCTGCCGAAGTCTGGCATTCTGAAGCTTTAGGGTTCAGGGTTTTTTTAGGGTGTAGGATATTTGGGTTTAGGGTTTACGGGGTTTTGGGCCTAGTCAAGGACACGAAGAAGCTCAACAACAGTTTGGTCCAAACCAGTGAACGAACCCGTGATCGCAGTATGGGGGCCTTAACCAGAACTAGGTCGGCGTTGTCGGGTACAGGATAGCATAAGTATACAGAGGCAAAAATAGGCGCTTAGATTGCTATGCAACCAGACCTCCATGTTGATGGCTCTGTGGTGACAATTACTACGTTGCTTTGGCTGGATGCAGTGCCACCATTGACCACAACTACTGATGACCTCCGTGTCCTTGTCTTCACCTGCTACTGGTACTGCTGTCACAACAACTGCTACTATAATCGTGAATATTGTTTCTGCTACTGCTACTATACTACTACGACGACGACGACTACTACTACTTGCTCGTCTTCTTCTTCCTCCACTTCTACGAGTACGGCGACGACGACTACCATTAGTAGATGACCTGCTGTGACCACGACTACTACTACAGTGCTGCTACCGCGACCACAGCAGCTGCCCACTGCCTCCACTACGACCACCAACACTTATCGTTACCACCACCGCACCACCGCGGCGGCCGTCGCCGCAACTACGACCACCACCCCAACTGCTACCAATGCGACTGCCGCTGTCACACCTTCCGTCGCTGCATCACTCCCACCACCCCAATTCAGCAGCGGCTTGTAGGAGCCTCTTGATCCGTAATTTGGTCGGATGATTGGCAATTCGTGCTTGCCGCGAGCTTATTGGCTGAGTCCAGTCCCGGTGCCTCTCGAACTGTTATGTGGCGAGTCGTATGCACTAGCACACTCGACACCAAGACTCGTGTGCAGGTCTCACGAACTTACACATCGGCCAGAGCATATCGCATGAGTCGGCAGATTGCTGTAGTCTATACTATAATCGTTCCTGCGGAGGAGCAGCATGCCAGCGAGCAGCCTACATAGCCGTCGCAAGGTCACTACACATTCAGATTGTAAGACCAACCTAGACCGATGTTTCCGGCGTTGCGGGCACTCCGCCCTTTCCACACTGCACAGCGCCGCTTGTGCCCAGGCTTATTTCACGCATCGGTTTGTCCGAGATTTCCGCGTGGATGCGCGAACAGGAGGAGAAGAGAGAATACACCTCAATGCTTCCATGACTATATAAATTATATGCAATCTGCGGTGCGAGTCGTGCAGACGTGACGAGTTTGTGCTTTCTGGTATATACTTCGACGACAATCTGCGAAGGGCAGCACCGGGATCAGCTGAGGTGCGCCCTGGCAGCCGGCGAGGGATTGGGGGATGTCGGCGTCTCAGCACTGGAGAAGGTTCAGGCCGAGGAGTTCCTCCGGCGGAAATGTGGCAGGGTTTGCCACTCCTGAGAACACGCTTTGAAAGCTTGCTCGCGCCTCAATACTCAATACAGCAAATCCGAAAGCCCATTGTCCGCGATCACAAGTTTTGATTTTCGTGCTAAATCACGGCAGGCCTGAGGTAAATTTTGAGTTCTGCTCTCCGGTAAGGCCACAGATGTCATCCGAACTGCTGTGCAGTCAGACATCGCCTGTTATGCAGCAGCAGGGCTGCAGGACATGCACTTCAGACTTCTTCTGGTCCGAACCATGCATCTTCTGAGCAGTTCTACTGGTAGCCAAGCGCGTGGCCGCCTTGATTTCGGCCAGTATCTGTAGCTGGGCAGTAGTGCATGTTTTCTGCCCAGGCAGGTGTGGCCAACCTGACAATGTTTCAGAAGCCCAAAACCAGCCCGTCGCTTGTCTCAAAGAATTGCCACACAGCTCGTTTGCGGTGGCTGCTGCGCATAATTACTGGCCAACCATATATCATTCATAGACAACAAATGAGTATTGTTCCTGGCTGCTTGCAAAGACTTTTCCAGGTTTCCTGTGCAAAGAATCACGGGCCTGGACTCGAAACGGCGTGATGCAGCGGGCTTGAAGCGCTTCGAGCCCTGTCCAGAAGGCCAGTTCAAAGCCAGTGCTTGGGAGGTCGGGGATTGGGGGATACGGGGATACCTAGCCACGGTAAATGATGTGACGGTAATAGTCCTACGCAAATGACACGTGCAGCCTTAAGCACGACATGGACTTGTCGCCTACACAGTTCTATCCGGACTTGAGCTCCTATACGCCGGACTGGGTATACGGGCCCGTATAGATGCCCGTAGCAGACCCGCGAGGCTACACCTTCGTCGACGCGGACATTGGCGGTGGCGCCTTTGCCCGCGTCTTTCTTGTGCGGAACGAGGCCTGGTGTAAATTGATGGTGATTGACATGAGCAGGTTGAGGCCAGCAAGGAATTAAGTTACCAGTTGCAGACAAGCTGTGCAGTCTGTTGTCTGCACAGCTCGCAGTGCGCACATATTTTGTGTCTGAGCCCCGACCCAGGCCACCCAGGATCTGCAAGCCATGAAACGTGACTTGATTGCAGTATTCTGCGAGAAGATCGGACAGCATGTTCTGGAGTGTCAAGCTTGACTTGGGGCATTACATGGGGCACTACAAGTCAAACTCTCATCGTTCCGGCATTGCAGGCGTCGATCGGCAGAAGCTGGCAAAGCATTTTCAGATTTCCGCTGGCGAAGCTGAGCAGATGGTCGAGCAGGCAGTGCTTCTTTGCGCGGGCCTAGCCTTTCCTTCGTAACTGGTCTATCACTAGATTCACTAAATGCTGCGTTCGTCAGGATCTTCACGTTCGGTGTGCAGGGATGTGCAGACTTTGCCGCAGGAGTTCTGGCAGATGCAGCGCACGAACCACCCCCACATCATCAAGCTGTTTGACTTCTTTCAAGACGAGAGATATGCTTATTTTGTTATGGAGGTCCCTGCAGATGCGAGTACTGGTGTTTCCATCATGTGATGTGGCTAGCTAGTTCTGACAAAGGGGAATTGATGCGATGGCCTACTGCTGTTGCCCGCCACACTATGGATTGCCATTTTGTGTGGCATTCTGCGCAGAGGCGGTGAATGGTGGCACTTTGCGCCAGCTTCTGAACACCTTGAATGCCCCGAAGGGGGAGCGGCCAAAGCTGAGTGACCCAAGAATGCAAATATCTCCCTCTCTCGGCGATGCTTTCTCAGTGCAAGAAGAATAAGCCTTGTGGCACTGGCAGTGCCGATAAGTGTTGGTTTAATGGTCGCTTGTTTTCGATTCAGTCTCTCAGGAAGGCTTCATTGCAGAAATGCTGCAACAAGCCCTGTATGCTCTGCGACACCTGCATTATGCCTCGCGCCTGCACTGTGGGTGGTACGCAGCGGCGTCGATGTCGTTTGAGACTTGCAAAGTCGCATCGTAGAGTTAGCCGGCCGGCCGCACGTGGGTAGTAGCCGACCAGGCCTGTTGATGGACCTAAGTCGCCGTCCGCAAGCCCAGAGGTGTTGCGTGCCAGAAGTCAGTTCAGTCCGGAGATAAGGAGTCAAGAATTCACAAAGACGCCACGTGGCTGCAAGGGAGCCTCAAGTGAGCATCGTGGAAAGTGCAAGTTCGAATTGATGAGCTCGTACGTATTCCACTGAGATCTGCAGACATGTTTCTCTTGGTCTGCCTGTGAGCATGCAATCTGGGTTTGCAGCCTGACACTTGCATGCTTTTTCCCTCTGCTGCGTGGTTTGTGCTGGTATGCTGCTACACGCAGAATGCAATTGAGTGAAATCTCCGAGCCTGTGAAGGTAAAGCTGGAAAACCTGATGCTGCTGAGCACTTCGGGCCCCCCACATCTGGTCTTGATCGATCTTGGTGTGGCGGAGACGCAGCCCGCCTCCAATTCTTATCTTGGAGAGATAGCAGATAGGCCCGACTGAAGGCCAGCAAGGCAACAACCCTCGGCAACACGTGCCATGAAAGCTGCGTCTCCAGCCCTACCGCGCTACACTAAGCTCTGCTTAGCAGTCTTAGCAAGAGCCAGAGCTCATGCAATGCAAAAGCGTCTCCTACCGGCACTGAGGTTTCAGTCCTCTGCAGGCGCCCCGTCTGCCAGATCTGAATCAAGGGATGTTGCAGGGCTTCAGCCGGCGTTCATCTCATAACCCATGTGCCCGAATGGAAATCTGCATTCTTCGCAATTTGGACTGCTGGGTTCAATGATCCACATCGCCCATACATTTGCTCTTTAGGAGGGAGCTCATCAGGTTGTCTGAAAAAAGGTGTCTCGAGAGGCTGCGCGGGCCCAGTCTGGCCAACTTCGGAGGGCTTTTGGCTTTGGTGGGCCTTGGTACTTTTCCCCTGCTTTGCATGTCATGTCATCAGAATGTCAGGGGATGCACGGCCCATGCCGGCTGGCACTCCGCAGACAATGGCTCCAGAGGTGCTGTGATGGCTTCGATGGGGCAAGTGTTGTCATTCGCCTTTCTGTGCATGTTGTTCCTTTCTCGAGGACACAAACTTCGGTAAATTTAGCAAAGCATGACTTGATCCTGCTTTCGTCGACAGTTGGAACTCGGCAAGAAGTTGCCATGCAGGTGATTGACTGCATGCTTGGGCGAAGAAGCAGATGCAGGGCTGCAGTAGTGTGGGTGGGTTTGGACTTCTGCGCGGAGTCTCCCGCAGAGGTGGGGTCAGTGTTATAGGGCAGTTGTCGTCAAACCGGAGCCATCTGCTCAGGCTTCGATGACCGCTGCGATGTTTTCAGCTTGGGCATTGTTGCGCAACTTGGCCGGAAGCTGCACGGGGTGCTTGGCCACAACTCCCTGGTAGTCCGCGCCCTAGGGGTAAGGTCTGTTGGATCAACGCATGGGCGACACACAGTTGAAGCAATCAGCTGTGCTTCTGATGCTGTAGTTCCCTCCACCCCTTCTCCGGACCACAGAAAGTCTCTTATCTGCACATAGCCGAAAGACCTTGAGACATTCGCCCAGGCACCAGCTCTTCACAGGTGATGTGCCCTACAAGGTCGCATACCGAGGTGCCCCGATGCAAAGTTTGTTCAACTGGGGGATCGGCACGATTGGTCGAGACAGCTCTAGCGCTTCCGCAACTCTGTGCGAGCGAAGCTGTGTGAACAGCGGCATCCTCGTACTGTAGCGAGTTCTGGTTTGCAAAGGTGTTTTCGAGCCAGGTGGCCTGACTTCCCGTACCGACGTACCCACTGGCCAACAAGGTGGAGGGTCTTACGGCCCGGTCGACTATGCTCAGACGCGCACCAACATGAACTGCGATCTCACCGCCCAGCTGCATCTTGGCGAGAGTTGGGGGAAGATTTTGTATTCAAGGTCGGACTGCTGCTGGCGTGTGCCGACCACGGTGTCAGTTCATCTGTCTTAAATGAAGCCGGCAGCAGCTTCGACAGCTCAGGAAGTCGGCTGGCTGTTCCAGAGGAGTTATCACCCTCGTCAGCCGCATGCTGGAGCCACGCATGCTCTTGTGTTATGCCAGTCGGGTCAAGAGTAGATGCGGGGCCGGGGGGGGGGGCCTTCGGATCTAAATTTCAACACTCGAAACATTGGCGAGTCAGGTTATCCTGCAGGTGCCGGTTTCATGCTGAACAACATGACTTGTGAGTTCCGTTGTTTCGTGCAGAGCAGGCTAGGTTGCAGACGCCACGGGAGTTCGGAATTGCGGACTGTGGTCGGGATTTTGGTTTTGTGCTTGTACCCTGCCAGTGATACGTGCTGGTGCATTACCCTAATAGTAGAGGGTGGCGGTCAATGCACCGTCTCCTGCTGCGAGACCGATACTCCTGAAACATTCTGGGCACGGGGTTTCAGCCAAGTTTCAGCGCGCAAGCCTTCCTCTGGTATCACGTGGCGTAGCAGCAACATGTAGCAACGAAGTATTGCGTTTTGTGTTTGGGTCTCTGTCATCATTTGCTCAGCGGATGTACGGCCGGGGCAAAGAACAACTGCCATTCCTGCTATAGCATTTGTAATTCTTCAGTTTTGTGCCCTGTTGTTTATCGTATTGAGCTACTCTTTTGTTTTCGGTCGCCAGAATTATGGCGACTGTGAACGGTGGTCATCTGGCTTGTCGGAATATGATCTCATGAAGAGCGCAAGCACTTCTGCGCTTCCTGCGCCGGCAGCCGCAGGCTGTACAAAAAAGAGTCTCATTAGGCTTTATATAGGTTTATGACATCTTATTGACAAGCATCGCACGAGAATTTTCTGGTAGAGTGTGATCACCCTCGCGAGCAACTCGCTCAGCAATGCAGGAGGCAAAAAAGAGTCGAGAGAAGCAGAATACCTAGAAATCATTTCACGAATAACGTTCTTGTCCGAAATCCTGCACAGGAGATGGACCCTGCGAAGCGGCCATCCACCCTGGAATGCCTGAGTGACGACTGGCTGGTGCTTCTGATTCTGTGTTAGGATTTAGGGTGCCTGACAAATGATGCTCCTCCAGAGTTACGGGGTACCAGCTACAGCCTCCTTTATCTGTGTTCGCGAGTAGGTTGTGACCTCGGCTGCAGGCTGGAGGCCTTCTTACCGTTCCCTTCTGATCGCCGTTCACTTTGTCTTAATATAAGGGGGCCTAATAATTACCTAACTATTTCGGGGGTTCCTTATGATAACTATAGTATAATATACCCCGGCGGAGGTGCAGAAGTGCGAGAACCGCCGCCTCCGGCGCCTTCGGCTCGAGGGCCGGCACTCGCTTGGGGGCGCGGCACTCTCCGTTGAGGAGGCAAAACTCGGACGTTTGAGGCGTTTTGAGGTTAAGTGAGGGCTCCGCGGTGAAGGCTCTGCGGTGTGGGTCAGGTTCTTGCCATGTCGAAACGCGTGCTTTGCGAAAAACTTCTTCCTGTGATTATTATCAGTGTTAGTTATGATGTTTATGTGCATGGTCATGGTTATGATTTATATAGTACTATTATTATTATTCCTATTATTCTTATTCTTATTATTACCACTATTACTAGACAATTATTATGATGATGATGACTATTAGCCCGTTCACTGTCCGAAGCGGCTTTCAACGCCAGGAGGAGGCAGCCGGTGAGGAGCTCCTGAGACTGGAAAGGCACAGAAGCGTCTATAACAGTATAATAGTAATAAGAGTCACTGTAATGTTAAGCTAATCAGAATAATGTTCTTAAGACTAGTGATAATAACAATAATAGTAATAATAATAGTAGGGCGGGGAAAAATAATAATAGTAGAGCGGCGTAGGGTATGGCAGAGAGCTGAATCAAATCCTGCTGCATGTAGACTTCCTGAGCAATGTGTGGATGCAGGCTAAGTCTTACTCTACGTGGCTGCATGTGCCAAGCGCTCCCTGTTTCATTCCCTGCATTATTTTTCTCGGAAAGGCGGCGCATCTGCAAAGCCTTGGTGCGTTTTGCCAAGCGGACGCCACTGCAGAGGGCTGTGGCGTTCCACCTGGCCTCGTACCTGCCGGTAGGTGCCTTCGGGAAATCAGGGTGCGATTGGTGCGTCCGTGGCCAGTCGAGTCTGGTGGAAGGAGGTATTTTGAGGTTTGGATTCTTCCAGGAGGGCTTTGGCTATCGAGGCCTATGTGATCTACCCTGGCATGGCTCGGGTGCAGGTGATCTTCGAAGAGCAGCCGAGAGCTTCAAGCGCGTTGACAATGAGCAGAGCGGCTGCGACCCGAGTTAGGTGAACTTCATCCGTTCCCTGCTTGGCCTCTGCAGCAGAAACTGCAAAACGCAGAAGCTCAAGAATAATGCGTTAATTGGGATTACGTGGCTTTGCTGAGCCACAACAGGCCTTTCAACTCAGTCAACTCAGCTCTCGTGTTACAAGGACTGTAGTCGAGAGCTTCCGGTCTGTTTAGTTTAAGGTCACCTGACCTACGATGAGATTGCAAACGCGCTGGAGGAGCCGCTTTGATGGGTGGCACAGCGCTTGCAAATGCCACAATCCCAAAACTGTGTCTCGATCCATCTGCACGGAGGAGGTTCTCGGCATCGAACGTGAGCACGGCCTGCGAGTTGCAACTGCTATGGACACGGACCAGTCTGGACGTCTAGATGCTCTGTCCGCAGAGTGGTGAATTTATTAGTGAAAATTCCTTGAGTTTGGAAGGGTGATTTCAGGAGATGTGACAGAGAAGGGCTTGATGCTAGAGCGTATACGGCTACGATCAGACATCGCTCCTCATTCCCAGCCTTGGCTGTGACATGGCTCGTTGCTGGTGAGTTTGCTGGTGCGGAGGAGAGGTTCTTCGCCACGAGCTTGAGTGCTTTGCCAGCTTCTGGCAGGTCTGTCGAGTGTGGCCACTGTATTGCAGGGTAGGGACTGCACCCAGGAACCAGGGCAATTGACCAAGACCCTCTCAAGGGACTCCGCTGTGTCCTCAAAAGCCTCAAATCTACCTGCCAAAATCCAAGCACGTGCCCAAGGATTTCCAAGAGTTCTCTGCTGCCGTCGCTGTGCTCAGAGGCCGCTTTGCCGCGTCCTTTCACTCTGGCTCGTATCGTGTAGGCGAAGGTGCTCGTATGAGAGCTTTCTTTGATTTGGGGCTGCCGTGTTCAAGATGAAATCAAAACCCCATGTAAGGCACGATCTCACCACCTCTCCCGTCGTATGATGTCTTCTTGCTCTTCGTTTCTTGGATGTTCTAGTGTCTAGCTGGTGCAAATTACGGGGTGGTCACAGTGAGGGGTGTAAACGGGCTGGCGCTAGAACGGGCAGTGGAAGAATGGGCGTTGAGTTTGAACCTCACGGAAATGCAAGCACTCCCAGGAGAAAGGGAACAGCGCTTATACGACACGCTGCTGCTTGGTATTCGCAGGGCCAGGGGCGGGTCCTTTGCCATGTCGTTTGATGCAAGGGAACGGTACAGTCTGCACAAAACAAGCTTCGGATGAGAAGTGCATTAAAAGTTAAAAGATGATCTGAAGGGTTGTTTAATTGTCTTGACAGCACGGGCGGAGATGGGCCGAGAAGTAAGCGAATCACCGAGAGAGGGAAGAAAAGCGGCCTCCTGTGTTGCCTCCTAGGCCGTTAAGCCCTCTAGCCCTGGCTGTACAAGTAGATGCTTTCTAGCTTTTCTTTACTCTTTAACCATAGCATAATAATAATAACAATAGTAACAATCATAACAATAATAATAAATAATAATAATGACAATAACAAAAATAGATTAATAGAAATAATAAAAGAATATAATAACAATAATGATAATGATAATCATAATAAATCTGCTTCGCTCCTTGGCTCTTGCTGCATTTTCCAAGCGTGAGAGCGAAAGGCTGGAGAAGATGCAAATCGATCCTGCGAAGGCCCACTTGACCTTCTCGACTTGAGCTAGGAGTAGAGAGATCAGCTACTGAGCCCCTGCAGCCGAATGAGTTGGAGAGGGATGTGTTTTTGGCGACCAGACCACGATCCACGGCTTGTCCAGGACCTCACCCTCCAGGAGGTCCACGCAGCCGTGGAAGTGGCCCTGAAAGGCCCCGTGCCTCGGCGAGGGCGAGCCCTATCCCCTTGCGGATAAGGGGAGTAATGGGGCTCTCTGCTGCAGTATGGCTCAGCCGTTGGTTTCTGGCTGCTGTGAATAAGGTGACTCGGGAGATGCTCGTCGAGTGGCTGACGAAGGTGGCCAAGAGTGCCCTGCCAAGGTGCTTGTCTAGTTCAGGGAGTTTGTGGGCTCTTCAGAAATATGGAATTACGCTTGCAGAGCGTTGTCATTACCTGTTGGAGACCTCGTCCCTGTGACCTTCTGAACACAGCTTCTGCTTGCAGCATTGATACCCCCAGTATGTCGCACCAGAGGAACCGCCTTGTGTAGAGGATCGGGTTTTGGGATGTATTATACCATATCTATGATAAGGAACCCCCAAATTAGTAGAGGTAACTATTAGGGCCCCTATATTATTAAGACAAAGGTCATAATCCACGGCCCAAGGCCAGGTTCCCACTCCGCGGCCCGCGACGCAAAAGAGCTGAGGATCGCACTGGGACCTCTACAACGCCCCAGTGGCAGGAATGGTCTCGAACGCTGATTTCCGCCGTCTTTTTGGTCAGTCAAGGGTGTAGTCATTTTGGTCTCTCGACATGCGAGATCGAATGAGAAACGACGCCTTGCCGAAGCCCGCACGATTTGTACATGCCCTTGCGCTTTTGAGAAGTGGGGCCGCTGCACCAAGAATCACATTCTTTTGTGAATTATTTTTGTGTGATTACATGACTACGTCCCGCGTGTCGGGTGATATGCGGTGCTGCAGTGGTTTCGTAGCTCTTTGCTGCAAGATGACACACCGGGTCCGGCCGGGTCTCGCGCGGTTCTTGGCCACATGTCAGTAGCTCGCGTCTAGTCTCAAAGACTGCGCATTCGATATTAGGTTTTGTCGTTGTGAGCTGACAGCTCCTACACGATTGATTTCAGAGGATCGCTGCAATCCTTGACGAACCTGGTCGTTTCTGTCTGCCTGCAACATGTCTGGCACCGAGCAGCTATTGAGAGCTCTGCAGACAGCTTTGTATTTCATCCTGTTGCTCGCGCACGGTTCTTGTCATGGCTACTGCTCCTTTCTTCCTTATTCTTGGAGGTTGCGAAGATTCGTTCTACAGATGTGGGTCGGCTCGCGTGTCCGGCAGATTAGGCCAATGATGAGATATGATGAGGGTCTTAGTCGGCCACTTCCCAAGACTTTGCTGACTCTGCAAAGCTCGCTTAATTTCCTGACTTCCACTTCTCTTACTTTCATGACTAGCAACAGCCGCAGCCTATGAGATTCGATTGTTTTCAGAAGTTCAGAAATGTATACCACAAGCATCCGCATGCGTGTCAACTCAATGTAGACTGTGTTAACGTCTTTCGAAATGCCGTGCTGCCTTGCGATCGCTTTTGATATGCGTCTACTGCACATCGCCTAGGCTCGACATGTGCCAGCCAGAAGGATCAGGTTCACATCGCGTGCACCACAAGAGTGCCCAAAGGGCTATGCAATTCTTCCGTCCTGGCCATCCTGGAGGGCACTGAGCCAGCACAATTGCAACTTTTAACATGTTTCGGTGATGCAAGACACCGCCGAGCGACTAGACCCAGATGAGCACCACGGTTCAGGATTTGACTGGTGCGAAGTAAGGGAGACACTCCGGTTCACCCTAAAGCGTCAACCTTAAACCAAAGCTTCACAAGCCCTGGACCCAAACTCCCTTAGCCCCGCCTGAACTCCTGAAACGAAAGTTCTTGGATTTGTAGCAAGAACAGCAGTGATAGTAACAGGCACCATGTTAGTTCTAATAGTCGCAATAGTCGCAATACTAATGAAACATGCAAATACTTATTCGTGCAGTCAAGTCTCGTAGACTCATTAACCTAAATCCGAAAATACAATCAGAATGTACCCTACCCTAAACCCTTCGCGTGTGTGTCAGTCGAAACCCTTCTCCCTATAAAACAGCTATAGTCTTAAGCTCCCCAACGCCTTGTAGCTTTGTGGCAGAAGCCACCCGTTGGGGTTGAACATAAACCAAGAAGGCTTATAACGGGCAACTGGGAGTGGGTGAGAGGGGGACGTGCGAAGGTGCTAGGCATTCTCGTATTTTCAATACAGTACTATTGCTATTGCCGCACATGATCGAAGGTTTGTTGCACCTAAGCTTCAGGTGGTCATGTGAGCACTGTCCACGCAGTGCACAGCTTTCCCTACTAATCTAATCGAATCCTAACAACTTAATGATGAAGCTGAAGCCTTGAAAACCCACAAACGCAGAACCGTGTATATAAAAATTAATAGTTTCGGCTCTTGAGCAACAGCGACCTTTTAATAGGAATCGTGCAAAATCCTAGGGAGCAAGCTAATTCTAACTGTTGAAAGTCGCACGGCGCCCTACGAGCGTGCGACCTAGTTTCACTAGGGCTTGCTTGGATGGTCTGTGTGACTTACGGCAGTGGAAGGGCTCCCTGTGAAAGCAAGAACAAGAACCCAAAGAAGCGTGACACGTTCATGCTTTGCTGTAACCATGGACTCCCGCAGCATCCACACAAAGAGCATCATCAGCAGCAGCCGTGTTACCATAGCACTAACCATAGCACTACTTCCCAATCCAGCGCTGCGCGATGGCCAGACACAGCTCCAGAAGTGGTGGTTCCTGCCGCTGGCACATCCTTCATGCAGTAACCCGCCGGACAGCATCGGACAGCCGTTAGACGCCAAGGTGTAGATTTCGGATGTCTATTTGTAAGCGGAGAGGTGCTGTGAAGATCCGCAGCAGGCGAGGTGCTCTGAGGTCGAGTGTCTAGGACCAAAAATGTTTCTGACACTCAAGCGGTGCTTGAATCCATCCACGCTTCGTTGCTCTGCAGAGGCTCTGCTGCTCTTGGTGCTGAGCGCAACTGCAACGTACCTCACGCAAAATAAGCTGAAGGCGTGCCTGCGTGGCTTTGGATCGTCCTGTGAGTCGCTGTGGTGCAAGTGCCTGACATATGAGTATCTCTGCAACCCAGAGCTTTGCTGGCCCGCATTCTGCATGTCTCTGAATCTGAAGCTTTGGCCGGAGGACATGGGATGGCACTCGCAGTATGCAGAGGTTGTCGAGGACCAGTGCGCTGCTTTCCCAGTTTGCTTGCTTTCTGTGCCAGTATTCTGGTGATGGCTGGATCTGATTTGCCAGCTTTTCGCATTTCTTGGTGAGGCGTTGTAGCATTTTTGGCATCTGTCACGGCTTGAGCAGCCTCAACCTCTTCACGAGATTCCGTGCCCGAGGAGATCGGGTCCAACCTCAAAGATGGCGACACGGCCGCCTTGGCCGCTTTGCGCTCGCTCCGGGACCAGGAGCCACGTGGAAGTTACGTAGAGGTGACAAACACAAGGCCCGGGGCGAAGGAGTCTCTGTGTTTTTATTGCGGTTCGTTTCATGGAATGTTTTCTGGAGCGCCCTTGCTCGTGTCCTGTCGTTTTGAGATATTGGAGACTCGCAGACGTGGAGGCCAGCGCCATCCGGTGCTCAGCTGCTGACTGTCCCGGTCTCCATTGCTCCCACCACTGCAACCACAGCGGCCTTGGTCACCAAAGCCGTCACATCTACGGAGGCACGAGTGTCCATGCAACGGGCCATGCATCACAACAAGAGAGTGACAGTTTTTGCTACGGTGTATAGGTATAAGTATAGGTATACATATACGTATATGTATGTGTGAAGGTGCGTTTATATGTATACATGTATACGTGCATTTACGTATATACGCACAAACGTACAAACTATATACGTATAGGTACATGTATATGTACATGTACATGTTTATGCACATGTGCATGTAGATGTATATGTGTATGTGTATGTGCATGTACATACATATAGAAAGCAAGCAAGAGAGAGAGAGAGAGAGATAGACAGAGATATAGATATAGATATAGAGATAGAGATAGAGATAGATATAGAGATAGAGATAGATATAGATATAGATATATATATATATTTTACATGTGTAGGCGCGCACGCACACGCAGAGCCTCCACATATGTCACTGGCCAGGCTCCGCGAGAGCCACCGGATCCATGGAAAGAAGTCCGGAGGCGGCCATTCTAAAAGGGGCGTAGTCGAGTGCAGGGGTACCCAATGATATCTTGCCCAGCAGTCGTGTCCTGCCCGAAAGTCGGCTTTTGGAGTTGTTGTGTAAATGCGCAAAGCACACGCAGACGCATGCGTAAGTCGCTCGCTCTCTCTCTCTCTCACACACATACACCCAAACATTTAGTGTTTAGCCCTTCTCTCTCGTGTAACCCTGAATGTAGTAGACGTATACATCTACACAAAAACGCTGCTTAATTATGTGTAAATGTAAAAAAAATAGATACACGCACGCTTATCGTGCAAACGCACATTCCCAAAATCTCGACATAGCAAGGTTTGAATGTTATCTTATTTTTGCCCTGCAGGCCTGCCGTAGCTTATCTGCCCATGCTTTCTACATCCCCAATGAGCCCCGAAACAGGCTTACGGTCGGCGCTCAGGATCAGGAAGGTGCCCACATTACAGACGCATGGTTCCAGCTCCAATCTTCGACATTTATGGGGCGGGGGTCGCGCACAGATGGACGAGGGTTGTAGACTATAGACTTGCAAAATTGGCCCAAATACCAGTATGCCGTCGTCTTTAGCTTCCAATCTCACTTACTATACCCCAAGGCTAAAGACGATTCAGAATCACCGAGCCCACTTATCTATATAGGAGCTGTGAAACGTTCCGGCCCTAAACAGAAACATGCATCGGCACGGGCCGAGCATCAATTGATCTCGGACGTTTGGCTGTTTAGTTTCCAGAACATTTGGCCCATAGGTGAACAGAAGATGGGAAAGCCAAATAGACTTGGAAATGCCATGGACGCAATATTGAAAAAGACACATGAAGGAAGGGGAATCCGCAGATGCTGCGGCACTGTGGCGGGCGCTCCGGTAGCATGTTATGAGCGGCCTACATGCTGTTCATCTAAGCTGCTGTCAGTGACAGCCACTGCCCCGTTCCGCCAGCCATGCTTAAACCGTACTTGTCCCGAACTGTGTCTGGATCCCGATGCCAACAATGGGAGCTTGCAAGACCTTTGGCTGAAGTGGCAGGCAGATGGCCACGAGGGCTGCCGAGGTCACCCGGCCAACCTGCAGGACGGTAGGGTGAACTGAAGATCTACAGCACACTTGGACCTTTGGGGCTTGGTGCTTCGGGTGACAAATGCGTCTGATTTCACCACCACCGTCATCATCACCATCATCTCTGCTCTTCAAACGACATCTGTCAACTTTCTGGGGGATGCTTTGGCCAGCAGTGATGGCAACACTCGGGTGACAGAAAGGACGGCTGGTGCCAAAAAGGGCTGCGAGCGCTGCTGCAGTGATGGCCACGCGTGGAGGGAGTGCTTCGATGTGGAGACATGCGCCAAAGACGCAAGGGCTGGAAGGTCTTTCGTTTGGTGTTCGACCGTTCATGCCGCTGCGGAGCTGCGCTTTGCCGAGGCGCAGCGCAAGCTCCTCCTGGTGGGAAATATGCCTTCGTCCTGGCCCAGGCTCGAAGGAGAACCACCACAAGGAAGAAGTTGAAACAATCGCAATTCTTCTACCCGCGGCAGCGGCAGCCTGTAGCTCACGACACAACAAAGCTTGCTTTCTTCTTTGACGGTCTTGTCGACGGTCGAAACTTATGGAATTTGGTGTGTTTCCGTCTGTTACAACCTGCAGCATGGGCCAAACCATGACCTCTCGGTCTCAGTGTTGCGACTCGCGGTCGGTGTCGCCGCTCATGTTCCTGTACCAACCTTGCGGAGGTTCAGCAGCCAGGCCAAAACTGGTTGCCGTACCTCGAGAACATGCGGGAAGAAGCGGACAGGACTTGCTTTTACACTGCAAGTGCCCCACCATGTGGATGCCTCTGCTCGAAGGATCCAGCAGCAAACGACGGCGACTGTGGACATCGTGGTTTCTCGGTGCATCTGAGCGGAATTCTTCTTGACTGGCCGAAGTTGGTCAATGTGGTAGTAGCCCAGCACCGACATCGTGATGAATATGTCGGGATATTGACGAGTGAACACATTGATTGTGACGTTGCTGTCGTTGTCGTGGTCGTGGCAAAGGAGTGGAATGTGACCACAGTAATGACGAAAGACGGGTGTAGCTAGCATGACGTCGCAAACTCTCAACAGAATGGCAGTGATTGTAGGAATAGCCATTGCGTAGGACAGGTGCTGCGAGTTTATGGCGCATGCACTCGTAATCATTATATAGTAAAACTGTAGCAGGACCAGCGCTCGCACATATTTGTCGAGATATGCGCATTTTCTGTCCATTGCCACAGATTAAAACACCTGATGCGATAATGATGCTTGCCCTTTTCCTAAATGTGTTCACAGCAAGACAGGTTTTGATACCAACCGCACACGTGGGCAAGCTGCGCGAGACTCATTGGAGCCTCGGCTCCATCCTGAGACGCCTTGTTTGAGGTCCTTGCCCTTCCATGCAGCCCTGGTCAGTCCCAAAATCCTAAATCGTGGCCCATGCGTGAACTTCCCATTGCTAGGACGCTAGGAGCAGTCTTCGGCTCTTTGTCTCAGCAAAAGCCAAGGAGCCGCTTGAAACAGTTTGGGGTCCAGGCTGGTTTTGTCAGTGCTACCTTTGGTCACCAAGTCAAGGGTACAGGTCCTAGGTTTTGACTACGCCCACGCGGAGCTTCCTCAGGCCTTGGCCATCTGTTCGTCTTTTGAGCCCGGAGGTTGTGAAAGTGCCTTGGGAACTTCCCCCCGAGCTGCACTGGTGGCCAGACAATTGGCACCCAGGCGCAGCACAGGGACATTCTTGTGTAGGACTTCCTCCCTGTAAATGCAAGATAGGGTAGCGGCAGAGCCAGGCAAAGTGGACGGTTGGTGTGGACCGCAAGACTTGGTCCGCCTGCACACCACCGGATCTTTGGCAGAAGTTAAGGATCGGACCTTCTGTGAAGGAACCTCCCTCCTGGACACATTTCGAGCTTTGAATCTGGATATTGTGCCTGTCTCGCAATGTTGAATGGAGATGCTTGCCGACATGTCGCATGCAGGCTCGAACTATTTCCCGCCACGTAAGACCTCGAGGGCCGGGAGCCGGGTCTTCTAAGCATCACAGAAAATACATGATTTCAACCCTCCAACTCAAGGCTTTAGATTGAAAGAACTTGGCAGCTTCGTCCAGGGCTGGACTCCTTCGATGCCGTGGCCTTCTACGACCAGGATGTGGAGTTCCACAGAGCCCTGCTCGGCAGACTTTGTAGGATCTTGAGGACTCATGAAGCTTCCTATTGCAGGCTCCCATGTTGGTTGCGACTTTGCTTCCCGAACTTTCCCCAAGTGTTTGGCTTGTGGTATCAAGCCGACAGGTGGAAAACATCAGGAGTTGACTTCTTCGGGGCCCGCACATGTTTGCTGCACAAGGTTCCGTCTCAGCTGTGTTCCGTTGCGCTTCCCTGGGCGCCTTGGACTTATGCGAAATGGGCTGAAGATGAGATCCTTCCTGGGGCCTCGGTCGTTGAGATGCACAGCCATTACAGCTCTTGTTGTTTTGGCACTGGGCTTGAGAAGGTCAAGTGGACGGAGGGTCATGCGGCACCTGCAAGGGGTCTGCTACAGGGGTAGACGAGGGGATGAACAGAGCATTTGGCGCCGAGCTCTCCTCCTCGTGAGAGGGAGAGAGCCATAAGATGTAGCAGCGCAGCACTACCATGATAACGCGTCCCGTCTGTCCGTCGTACCCGCGCGTTGAGTGCGTTGAGAATTTTTCGGCATGTGCATAATCTGTGCTTCCATAGCGTCTGCGAGCAATAACATCTGTTGGCAGACGCGCAATTGCCTGAAATCAGTAAGCATGGCTATGCAGTTTCCCCCAATACATGTGTAGCGACATACAATGCTGCAGGTTCCCACGCAGATGTCAGCTGTTTATCCTAGGCTATTTTCTCAGCACTTCCGGTGGTGTCGGCGAGCCCCTCAACATCGGCTCCTTAGCTGCCAGAAATCTTCGCGACGGTGGCCTCATCGACCTGGCCAGACAGTGCAGGAGATGATGACAGATGCAAGGGGCGGGAGAGAGAGTGAGGTAGCCATTTGTCTCAAGCATGGGCCTAAACGTGCAACAGCTTTGGCTTACACAAAAGCAGGGCTTTCAGAGGCCGATAAGTGTCAGGGTGTTTGCGTAAGCACACATGGGGTTGGAGCTTGCGCATCCCACGGATACCTGCAGGTACGATGGCTACTGGATGCCCAGAGCATTGGTACCATACCAAGACAGTAGACCAGACACCCGAATTTCGTGACATGTTCTATGCTCGGATTCGGAGCATCACTGCTTCCAAGAGATGTTAGAAGAACCCCATGTCACAAAAGCGTGCCAGATTAAAATCGAGAGCGATGCCAGTGGCCGAAGAGAAGTGACCGACTGACCGCCCTCCTGCCCGGCCTCAAGAACGCAAGCGCGAGTTCGAGCAAGCAGACTTCGATCTTATAGCACGCACGCACGCACGCACGCACGCGCACACACACACACACACACACGGACGGACTGAGACTCTTATGTAGCAGGAGAGTAAGTAACCTTTGACTTTTTTGGTGCATTATAACTGAAGAACAGCGGATCATATGAGCAACATGAGGTGGCGAAACCGTAAACGCCCTAAACCCTAAACCCTGCTGCGGGCTAATTTCTACCGACAACTTCTCTCGACGCTTCTTTAGGACCTCACAGAAACCTGAACCCTGAACCCTGAACC